AATATATATATATAATAGTATGTAATAATAATAATGAATAATATAATAATGTAATATAGTAATTCTAATAATATAATAATATGTTACTAATAATATATAGTAAATAATATAAATTGTTATTATAAAAATATAATAATAATATATAATAGTAATATGGTAATAGGGTAATTATATATATATAGAGAGAGTAATGTGGTAATAATAATAATATAATTATTTTATAATAATATTAAAATTATATATATATATATATATATATATACACACATACATACATATAAGGAGCCCCCGGTGGCACAGTGGGTTAAAGCACTGAGCTGCTGAGCTTGTTGATCGAAAGGTCGCAGGTTCGATCCCGGGGAGCGGCGTGAGCTTCCGCTGTCAGCCCTAGCTTCTGCCAACCTAGCAGTTCGAAAACATGCAAATGTGAGTAGATCAATAGGTACCGCTCCGGCGGGAAGGTAACGGCGCTCCATGCAGCCATGCCGGCCACATGACCTTGGAGGTGTCTATGGACAACGCCGGCTCTTCGGCTTAGAAATGGAGATGAGCACCACACCCCAGAGTCAGACATGACTGGACTTAATGTCAGTGGAAAACCTTTACCTTTACCTTTAATAATAATAATGTATAATATAATAATAATGTAATATAATAATTCTAAGAATATAATAATATGTTACTAAGTAATATAAATTGTTATTATAAAATAATATAATCATAATATATAATAGTAATATGGTAATAGGGTAATTATATATAGAGAGAGAGTAATATGGTAATAATAATAATATAATTATTTTAAAATAATAATAAAATAATATATATATATATAATATAGTAATAATATATAGCAATATGGTAAAATAATTTAATAATTATTACTACTATTATATAATAAAATAATATTATTATTTTAAAATAGTAACATATATAGTAAATTAATATATAGTAATATATTACTATTATTCAATTATATATATAATGTAATTAAATATACAGAAAGAGAGAGAGAGAGAATATCTTTCTTTCTTTCTTTGGAGGAACCTCTCCTGCTCTCTGCTGGAAAGAAAGGTAAAGTCTTTTTTCCCTTTCTTTCTTTCTTTCTTTCTTTCTTTCTTTCTTTCGTTCTTTCTTTCTTTTTTTCCATTTTCATTCTTTCCTCTTTCTTTTATTTATTCTTCTTTCATTTATTCGAATATTTTTATTTTTTTTATTTCATGTTTTATTTTTAAATTTTATGTATTGATCTTTTTTTATCGTTTATTTTATGGCTCATTTTTTATTATATTAAATGCTTTGTTTTTCACTTTATGGATTATTTTAATATTGTTGATTTTTTATATTTTCATGGATTATTTTTAAGAAATCTAAAGTTCTGGCATTTGAGGGGAAAAAATCCCCTTTGCTGTTGGTCAATTGACTCTAGAACAGGTCAGAACTCTAGAACAGACTCCAGAACATGCCACAGGCCATGCAAAATGCAGTGGAGGACTGACACCACATTACATTACCACATCATATGCAGGGGCGGCTCATCCATTACGCGAAGTAAGTGGTTGCAGAACACTTTTTTTCCCAGGGGCGCAGAGGTGCCTCTGTAAATGCCCCTCGACCGCCACTTGAGGAGCGCCCCCTCAGCTCACAACAGCCCTAGCAGTCCGGGGGGAGCCTCGGCTTTCTTGCCTCGCTGCCGGGCGATCCTCTTCCCAAAGGGGCCGGGCCCTTGAGCCTCGCCTAGCCCCTCTCGTTCCTGCTCCACCCGGCCACCAGGTGCGTGAGCAGAGCCGGCGCTCAATCGTTCTCCACGTTCGATCCCTTCCCCATGACCGGCTCCCTTTCCCGATCCCCCGGCTCCACCTGCCTCCTCTCCTCTCCCCAATCCGTGGGTGGGCCAAGGGGCGGAGCCGCCACACCTGGCCCTTTGGGTCCGGAGGCGTGTCTGAAGACCCCAGCGTGCGCACCAAAAGTCGCCTCTTCTCCTGACTTTCTCTTCAGCCATTGGGACCAAGAGAGAGAGAGAGAGAGAGAGAGAGAGCCCCTCCGGCTGGAGGTATCTCCCACCTCCGCTCCCTCCTTTGTTTTTGCGCCTACCTTCAGGAAAGGTGGGCATCTCCACCTCTGTCTCTCTCTCTCTCTCTTGGTCCCAATGGCTGAGGAGAAAGTCAGGAGAAGAGGTGACTTTTGGTGCACATGCCGGGGTCTTCAGGCACGCCTCCGGACCCAAAGTGGGCCAGGCAAGGGAGCAAGTGCGGCAAGTGTAGTTACTGGGATGTATAGTTCACCTACAATCAAAGAGCATTCTGAACTCCACCAATGATGGAATTGAACCAAATATGGCACACAGAACTCCCACGACGAACAGAAAATATATATCAATGATTGGTTGAGGGGGGGGGGGGCGCCAAAATACTGTTTGCTTATCGTTGAAAATTACCTAGGGCTGCCTCTGATCCCAAGACAGTGTTTCTCAACCTTCCTAATGTGATGACCCCTTAATACAGTTCCTCATGTTGTGGTGACCCCCAACCATAAAATTATTTTTGTTGCTTGTGCTGGTACAGCTGTGCCAGGGGATTGAATTCCCTTTTTCTTTCTTTGCTTGTTTGCATGAATTCCTGTAGGCTATGCATTTTGCAATTTGGTAGCTTCCTCCAGGTTGCAGTTATAGGGCCAGCATCCTGTCAATCATCATTGCAGCCTTTAGATCCACCCCTTTCCCCAGGGTTTTGGAGGGAAAAGGGAACCTTTAGCTCAGGCTTTACAGTGAAGCCTTGCAGACGGGACATTGTGAGCTTTTCTCTCTCCCACCTGTAAAAGGCTTTGTTTCTCACAGCAAACTTGGCTTACAATATATATTTTCATACAATATATTATATTATTAGCATAGTACAATATCAGTATTATATATTACTATATTGCACTATATACCATTATATTGTAACATTATTAGTAATATTACATGTAATGTAAATATATAATTATAATTATAATGTCGTATTATTATTACTAGTATTATATTGCATTACATTATAATATTATAAATATTATATGTATGTACAATATAATATATTATATTATTAGTAAAGACGAATACTAAAGAATTGGGCCAAACTTCCCACACAGAACCCCCATGAACAAGAGAAAATGCTACGTTTTCTGATTTTATTTATCTTGTCAGGAGCAACCAGACAGTTGTATTACATTTTTAACAAAACAAACAAACAAACAAACAGACAAAACACAAAGTTTGCAAGCTTGGTAGTTGATTAAATGTCCTTTGACCAGTATCTGGCCACTTGGAGTGCCTCTGGTGTTGCTGCAAGAAGGTCCTCCATTGTGCATGTGGCAGGGCTCAGGTTGCATTGCAGCAGGTGGTCAGTGGTTTGCTCTTCTCTGCACTCGCATGCCACGGATTCCACTTTGTGTCCCCATTTCTTAAGGTTGGCTCTGCATCTCGTGGTGCCAGAGTGCAGTCTGTTCAGCGCTTTCCAAGCCGCCCAGTTTTCTGGGGAATCTCTCACTGGGTATCAATATGTGTATAAATATGTGAGAGGAAGCCACAGGGAGGAGGGAGCAAGCTTGTTTTCTGCTTCCTTGGAGACTAGGACGCGGAATAATGGCTTCAAACTACAAGAGAGGAGATTCCATCTGAACATTAGGAAGAACTTCCTGACTGTGAGAGCCGTTCAGCAGTGGAACTCTCTGCCCCGGAGTGTGGTGGAGGCTCCTTCTTTGGAAGCTTTTAAACAGAGGCTGGATGGCCATCTGTCGGGGGATTTGAATGCAATATTCCTGCTTCTTGGCAGGGGGTTGGACTGGATGGCCCATGAGGTCTCTTCCAACTCTTTGATTCTATGATTCTATGATTGAGGTTCTGATTTTTCGCCTGCCACTTTTGGACTCTCGCTTGCTGAGGTGTTCCAGCGAGTATCTTTGTAGATCTTAAGAAAACTATTTCTTGATTTAAGTCATTGATGTGCTGGCTGATACCCAAACAGGGGATGAGCTGGAGATGTCTCTGCCTTGGTCCTTTCACTATTGGCTGCTACTTCCCGGTGGATGTCAGGTGGTGCAATACCGGCTAAGCAGTGTAATTTCTCCAGTGGTGTAGGGCGCAGACACCCCGTGATAATGCGACATGTCTCATTAAGAGCCACATCCACTGTTTTAGTATGGTGAGATGTGTTCCACACTGGGCATGCATACTCAGCAGCAGAGTAGCACAGCGCAAGGGCAGATGTCTTCACTGTGTCTGGTTGTGATCCCAGGTTGTGCCAGTCAGCTTTCGTATGATATTGTTTCTAGCACCCACTTTTTTGCTTGATATTCAGGCAGTGCTTCTTGTAGGTCAGAGTACAGAGTGACTCCCAGGTATTTGGGTGTGCTGCAATGCTCCAGTGGGATTCCTTCCCAGGTAATCCTCAGAGCTCGGGATGCTTGTCTGTTCTTAAGGTGAAAAGCACATGTCTGTGTTTTAGATGGATTAGGGATCAGCTGGTTTTCCCTGTAATAGGCAGTAAGAGCACCTAGAGCTTTGGAGACCTTCTGTTCAACCATCTCAAAGCTCCCTGCTTGAGCGGTAATGACACGATCATCAGCATAGATGCACTCGCCTCATAGGAAACCTGCTACAAAACAGGAGCTTTTTTGTTGAGTTCCAGGGCCAGAGAAGCAGATGTCTTCACTGTGTCTGGTTGTGATCCCCAGGTTGTGCCAGTCAGCTTTCATATGATATTGTTTCTAGTACCCACTTTTTGCTTGATTTTCTGGCTTGATATTCTGGGATCCTCTGACACCCCTCCTCACATCCCGACCCCCAGGTTGAGATACGCTGTCCTGCGTCTTGCAAGTACCATAGAAGCTTCTAACTCTGTGTGTTTTCTTTCTAGGAAGAACTAAACCAGCCTATTTCTTGTCTTGTTTTGTTTCTTCCAGCAGCATAAGGCAAGCTTGGCTTTCAAACGCTAACCTTTTCTCCTTGCTTTGCTTTCTTCCAGAACCACAGCTTAAAGGCATTGTAACGAAATTGTACAGCCGGCAAGGGTATCACTTACAGTTGCAAGCAGATGGAACGATCGATGGAACCAAAGAGGAAGAAAGTACCTACAGTGAGTATTTACTTATAGAGGTGGGATTGTCCAGTTGGCTGGCACAATCTGCTTGCCCATATGAATGGCCTTTGGAAATCAAGGGTTTCCTAACAATCAATCCGTTGTGTGCGTATTTGCTCATTCCAACTGGAGGAGCAAAACAATTGAGTCTTCGATCGACTCGCAGAGGTAGTTAGCGCCCGCTGCAAAACCTGTCCAAATGTTATCTCCATGGAGATCTGGGGCGGTTTGTCACTTTGCTTTGGATTAGGGTTTTGTTTTTCTCCCCCATTATTGTTCTCCAGCCAGGAGAAGTTCCTCGCCCCCTCGTTTTGCCTGACACAATCCTCGTTCCCAAAAAGCACACATCAGACACAAATGAGGAGGGAAATGAGAAAGTCATCCATAAGGGAAATTTCAAATTTTCAACCCTAGGGCTGAGCCGATAGACTGGATGAATCCCGTCCACCACAAGCAGGGCTACTAAGACTTGATCTTCATTGCCACACAGTGCAGCTTGAACTGCATCATGTGATCAGTGTATAATAGTAATAATAATAATAATAATAATAGTAATAATAATAACTAGCTTTACCCGCCACGCGTTGCTGTGGCCAACCTTCTCTCCCTCTTTCTCTCCTTCTTTCACTCCTTCCTTCATTTCCTTTTCTTCTTTCCTTTCTTCCTTCTCTACCTGTTTACTTCCTTCCTTAGCTTTTTGCTCCCATCCTTCCTTCTCTTTATTTCTTTCCTTCCCTCCCTCTTTCTCTCCTTCTTTCTCTTCTTCCTTTGCTCCGTCTTTCCTCCCTTCCCTTTTCCTTCTCTCCTCCTTCCTTCTCTTCCTCTTTCTTTACTTTCTTACCTCATCGATAAATTTCCTTATTTCATTCGCTCTTGTTCCAGACTTTTATTATTTTCTTCCTCCTTTAATTCTTATCTTCACTTTTTTTCTCTCTTCCCTTAAACAAAATTAAACTGCCTTCCTTCCTTCATTCCGTCCTTCAAGTACATTCATTACTTCCTTTCAATTATACCTTACCGTATTTGACACATTCACATTACCATACCTTGCTTACTATTATTCTATCTTCATTCCTTCTCCTTCCTTCATTTATTCCTTCTTTCCCATCATCCTAATACACTTTATTCCTTCTTCCTACTTGTCTTTTGAAATACCTTCTCAAATTTCCTTCCCTTCTTTCTTCTCCTTCCTTCCTTCCATCCTCCCTCCCTCCCTCCCTCCCTCCCTCCCTCCCTTACTTCCTTCCTTCTTCCTTCCTTCCTTCCTCCTTTCCTTCCTTTCCCTTTTCCTTTCTTTCTTTCTTTCCTTCCTTCTTCTTTCATATACTTCCTTCTCCTTCCCTACTTCCTTCATACCTTCCTTCTCCTTTCTTTCCTTCCTTTCTTCTTTCCTCCTTCCCTCCTTCTCTCCTTTTCCTTCTTTTCTTTCTCTTCTTCTTCCCTTCTCCCTTTTTCCTTCTCTCCTTCCTTCCTTCTCTTCCTTCCTTTTCCTTCCTCTTCCTTCCTTCCTTCCTTCCTTCCTCTTCTTCCTTCCTTCCCCTTCCTTCTTCTTCCTTCTCTTCTTTCCTTCCTTCCTTCTCCTTCCTTCCTTCCTTCCTTCCTTCTCTTCCTTCCTTCCTTCCTTCCTTCCTTGCTATTTACACCCCTTCCCCTCATTTCCATCCTTCCTTCCCTCTCCCGCTTCCTTCCCTCCTTCCCCTTCCTCACCGATGGCGGAGCCAGACGGCGGTGTGCGGGGGCGGCCTGGGCCGGGCGTTGCGGTGGCCGATGGGCTGTCCTCGGCAGAGCTGGGCCACGGCCTCTCCCGGCCAGGCCAGCAAGCACAGCCGGCCGAGCTCCAACTCCCAGGCCGGGGCTTCAGTGTCAGCGGGTAGGCCGCGTTCTAGAACTACAGTTCCCAGAGTGCATTGCGTGTGTACTTCCTCCCCTGGGCACTGCACATGCTCAGTTGGTTTTTGTAATTGTGAGTTTGTTGAAATGTTGTTTGGAATTTTGATGAGTGTTGTGCATACCTTGTGGGTTGAGGTATGTGCACGGCAAATTTGGTGAGTTTTCGTCAGGGGGTTTTCGCGTTTTGCTGTCCCGTTGAACGCCCTTTCCCTTTTTATATATATAGATAATAATAATAACAATAATTGTGTTTGGTTTCTATGTTCTGTGTATATTGTTTATTTGCTTTGATGTTGTATACTTTAATATTATGTTGTTTATTTTATTGCAATTTGTATTTTTTGCATTGTAATTTGTTGTTCGGGCTTGGCCCCATGTAAGCCGATCTGAGTCCCCAGCAGAGTAGCACAGCGCAAGGGCAGATGTCTTCACTGTGTCTGGTTATGATCCCCAGGTTGTGCCAGTCAGCTTTCGTATGATATTGTTTCTAGCACCCACTTTTTGCTTGATGTTCAGGCAGTGCTTCTTGTAGGTCAGAGCACGGTCCAGAGTGACTCCCAGGTATTTGGGTGTGCTGCAATGCTCCAGTGGGATTCCTTCCCAGGTGATCTTCAGAGCTCGGGATGCTTCTCTGTTCTTAAGATGAAAGGCACATGTCTGTGTTTTAGATGGGTTGGGGATCAGCTGGTTTTCCCTGTAGTAGGCAGTAAGAGCACCTAGAGCTTCGGAGAGCTTCTGTTCAACCATCTCAAAGCTCCCTGCTTGAGCAGTAATGGCACGATCATCAGCATAGATGAAACTCTCTGTCCCTTCTGGCAGTGGCTGGTCATTTGTGTAGATGTTGAACATGGATGGAGCAAGCACGCTTCCTTGAGGCAGGCCGTTCTTCTGTTTCCGCCATCTGCTTCTCTGGCCCTGGAACTCAACAAAAAAGCTCCTGTTTTGTAGCAGGTTTCCTATGAGGCGGGTGAGGTGGTAGTCCTTTGTGACATTATACAAATGAAGACCGGCAGGTCACAGGTTCAAATCCAGGGAGAGGTGGATGAGCTCCCTCTATCATTTTTGTCAGGAGGAGGCGGTGGTTTACAGTATCATAGGGGGACATGGTGGCAGGGTATAAATAAAGTTTATTGTTATTGTTGTTGTTATTATTATTATTATATTAATAGGAGCCCCCGGTAGGGTTAAACCCCTGTGCCAGCAGGACTGAAGCCCGATAGGTTGCAGGTTCGAATCCGAGGAGAGCGCGGATGAGCTCCCTCTTTCAGCTCCAGCTCCTCATGTGGGGTCATGAGAGAAGCCTCCCACAAGGATGATAAAAACATCAAATCATCCAGCCATCCCCTGGGCAACGTCCTTGCAGACGGCCAATTCTCTCACACCAGGAGTCACTCCTGACACGAGAAAATAATAATAATAATAATAATTTCTTAGGTGATCCCTCGTAGTCCGAGGAAGATGTTTCTTCCAAGATCGGTGTACTGACGGTGGGTCCGTAGGTGACTGTGGAGCCCTATTCTTGATCTGCATCTTCTCCCACAGTGAGGGCATTGGTTTCCAGGTGGAAGGTGGGGACCAGCGGTCCCGGTCGGGGTTGGCTTGACACGCCTTCCTCTTGGCACGTTTCTCTCTTTCACCCTCCATTCGTCCTCTTCAAATTCTACAGCACTGCTGGTCACAGCTGACCTCCAGCTGGAGCGCTCAAGGGCCAGGGCTTCCCAGTTCTCAGTGTCTATGCCAGAGTTTTTAAGGTTGGCTTTGAGCCCATCTTCAAATCTCTTTTCCTGTCCACCAACATTCTGTTTTCCGTTCTTGAGTTCGGAGTAGAGCAACTGCTTTGCGCAGTGGGTTAAACCACTGTGCCGGCAGGACTGAATACCGACAGGTCGCAGGTTCAAATCCGGGGAGAGGCGGATGAGCTCCCTCTATCAGCTCCAGCTCCTCATGTGAGGACATAAGAGAAGCCTCCCACAAGGATGATAAAATCATCCGGGCATCCCCTGGGCAACGTACTTGCAGACGGCCAATTCTCTCACACCAGAAGCGACTTGCAGTTTCTCAAATCACTCCTGACATGACAAAAAAAAAAACTAACAATGTGGCCAGTCCAGCAGAGTTGATGGCGGAGGACCATCGCTTCAGTGCTGGTGGTCTTTGCTTCTTCCAGCACACTGGCATTTGTCCACCAGTCTTCCCAGGAGATTTGCAGGATTTTTCAGAGGCAACACTGATAGAATTTCATTGCCTCCTAAGCATCTCTTTTGGGGACTGCTATCACAGTCTCCCCAGTAAAAATAGTCTTTATATTGTCTGAATCAAAAAGGAAATTGGCATTCAACCTCAGTTCTTCATCACCACAAGATGGTTTGCTGATGCTTATTCCATTTCGAAGGGCCACGGAAGATTCCCAAAAGCAAATACACGCTCTGAAATGAGGTTTAAACATTTCCCAAACGGCTCTTGCAGGAATATTTGCCGAAAGCCAGAAAGGCTAATATCTCTCTGTTTTCCTCCTAGCTTTGTTTAACCTCATACCTGTGGGACTGCGAGTGGTGGCCATTCAAGGCGTCCAGACAAAACTGTACTTAGCAATGAACAGCGAAGGATACTTGTACACATCGGTAAGTCCCCGCTTCCTCTCTTTTGGCTCGTTGATCTGCCTTTTGTGTGTCGTAAACCCGGCCCCTGAAATAATGGAGAAGGCATTGCTTCTCGGATCTGGCTTATTGTAACATGTTCCTCCGGCAAATAAAAGGGAACGACAACTAAATCTCTTTCCAGGAAGCTTACAATATCCATTTGCCTGGTTGCCTATGGAGGGTTGGCAGAAAGATAAGCAGGCAAATCTTGGATATTGAAGGAGAGATGTGCTTCTGCTTGTGTTTGGAGGCTGTTGTCATGTTGCTGACATACGAAGTAAAAACGCATTGTATTCTGTGGACTAGTTTGCTACTCAGGATAATTTGTTTATGTGTCTTTCTCCAGGATTCATCTTAATTTGGATCCTATTTCTAGAGTAAATAAGATGGTATTCAACAGAAGGCAAAGCTGTCATTCGTTAGTTTTGGCTGGTGCCATATCAGACTTTTTTTATAGTGTCAGAAGTGAATTGAGAATACAGTTATAATGTATAGAATAACCAGGTTCATAGGGGAGAATACGTTCAGATAGGTAAACTGCGCCGGAACCATATTTATTTACAGCTTTTATATTCCGCCCTTCTCACCCCACAAGGGACTCAGGGCAGATTACAGTGTACACATATAAGAGAAACATTCAATGCCAATTTTTGACATACAAACATATACAGACATACACAGAGGCTATTTAACTTTTTCTGGCCGCCAGGGGAGCTGTCGCTTTCATCGTCCATCTGCGACACTGATGAAGCACTTCCGCATTCCCCGCATGCTTCCCCGCTGGAATGCTTTGCTGGAGTCTTCTTTATGGCCTCATAAATCAGTTAATTTAGCCTCCCCACATTTTAAGGTAGTACCTAATTTTCCTACTTGACAGATGCAACTGTCTTTCAGGTTGCAAAGGTCAACAACAGGCTACACACAATTGGTTGGAAACCCACTCCAACCCGGGCAGGATTCGAACTCATGACCTTTTGGTCAGAGTGATCTTAATGCAGCTGACACTCAGCTGTGCCACAATCCCATATAGGGTTTTGTAGGTTAAAACCAGCACTTTGAATTGTGTTCGGAAGCTAATTGGCGGCCAGTGGTGCTGGCGCAACATGGGAGTTGTGCACTCCCTGTACCCCACTCATGTTAGTAGCCTGGCTGCCGAGCATTGGACTAGTTGCAGCTTCCAGGCAGTCTTCATAGGCAACCCCACATAGAGAGTGTTGCAGTAGTCTATACTGGTTGTAACCAGAGCGTGGACCGCTGTGGCCAAGTCAGCCTTCCCAAGGTACAGGCGCAGCTGGCGCACAAGTTTTAATTGTGCAAATGATCCCCTAGCTACCATTGAGACCTGGGGTTCCAGGCTCAGCAATGAGTCCATGATCACTCCCAAGCTGTGAACCTGCGCCTTCAGGGGGAGTGTAACCCCGTCAAGCACAGGCTGTAACCCTATGCCCTGTTCGGCCTTGCGACTGACCAGGAGGATCTCTGTCTTGTCTGGATTCAGTTTCAACTTGTTTGCCCTCATCCAGTCAGTTACAGCGGCCAAGCACTGGTTCAGGACCTGAATAGCCTCCTTAGTAGCAGTAAAATCTGGATTCACTGCCCACTGGAGCATTGCAGCACACCCAAATACCTGGGAGTCACTCTGGACTGTGCTCTGACCTACAAGAAGCACTGCCTGAACATCAAGCAAAAAGTGGGCGCTAGAAACAATATCTTACGAAAGCTGACTGGCATAACCTGGGGATCACAACCAGACACAGTGAATTTATTTATTTATTTATTTATTTAGAAGTTTTCTATACCAGCCTTCTCACCTCAGCGAGGGACTCAGGTCGGTTTACAGCATATATGAAAGTACAATAATATATAAGTACACAAAGTGCAACGTCATTACATATTAAAATAGTACAATAAAGTACAATAAAAACATCATCATCACAATTACCTAAGCCAAGTCGTCAATCCAGTCATAGTCATAGTCATAATCATAGTCACAGTTCATCATCCTCCTTCCTTGTGGACGGAGGTTATAGATTCAGTCCTCAAATGCCACATTCCAGAGCCAGGTCTTTAGTAGTTTCCTGAAAGTCAGGAGGGAGGGAGCAGATCTAATCTCTAGTGGGAGGGAGTTCCAAAGCCGGGGAGCCACCACCGAGAAGGCCCTGTCCCTCGTCCCCACCAACCGTGATTGCGAGGGTGGTGGGACCGAGAGCAGCCCCCCCCCGGAAGATCTTAATAGCCTTGATGGTTCATAGGGGAGAATCCGTTTGGACAGGTAAACTGGGCTGGAGTCGTTTAGGGATTTATAGGTCAAAACCAGCACTTTGAATTGTGCACGGAAGCTAATCGGCAGCCAGTGCAGCTGGCGTAACAGAGGGGTATGGTCTCTGTACCCCGCTCCTGTTAGCAATCTGGCTGCCGCTCGTTGGACTAATTGAAGCTTCCGGGCAGTCTTCAGAGGCAACCCCACGTAGAGAGCGTTGCAATAATCTAAACGGGATGTAACTGCTGCTGAGTATACATGCCCAGTGTGGAACACATCTCACCACACTAAAACAGTGGATGTGGCTCTTAATGAGACATGCCGCATTATCACGGGGTGTCTGTGCTCTACACCACTGGAGAAATTACACTGCTTAGCCGGTATTGCACCACCTGACATCCGCCGGGAAGTAGCAGCCAATAGTGAAAGGACCAAGGCAGAGACATCTCCAGCTCATCCCTTGTTTGGGTATCAGCCAGCACGTCAACGACTTAAATCTAGAAATAGTTTTCTAAGATCTACAGAGACACTCATTGGAACACCTCAGCAAGCGAGAGTCCAAAAGTGGCAGGCTCAAACCCAGAACCTTAATCAGTGGCTGATACCAAATGAGAGACTCCCGGGCACACAGAGGACTGGGCGACTTGGAACGCGCTGAACAGACTGCGCTCTGGCACCACGAGATGCAGAGCCAACCTTCAGAAATGGGGCTACAAAGTTGAATTCACGACATGCGAGTGTGGAGAAGAGCAAACCACTGACCACCTCCTGCAATGCAACCTGAGCCCTGCCACATGCACAATGGAGGACCTCCTTGCGGCAACACCAGAGGCACTCCAAGTGGCCAGATACTGGTTAAAGGACATTTAATCAGCTACCAAGTTTGCAAAATCTGTGGGTTTTTTTTTATCTGTTTGTTTGTTTTGTTCTGTTAGGAATGTAATGCAATGGTATGGTTGCTGATGACACGATAAAAAAAACCTGCCCAGCTGACATTATTTTGTGTTTTGGCATAAGTTAACTTTCAGAGTTGTTTTAGGAAAATGAGAGTTAAAAGATTTGTAAAGCAGGTTGCTCCTGAAAGAAGAACTACCTTGCTTTTTAAAAATGTACATGTCTGGGTAGATCCTTCGTAAACACCCTCAAAGTGGGTCATTTTGTTACAGCTGCATAACTTTGCATGCATTTCCTCCTGATTGTTCTTTGAGTTTAGCATCAAACACGGTCCTTATTTGCTTTAGCAGAACATCAGTTTGGAGTTTAAAAGGGTCACAGAAATGCAATTTGAAAAGGGCTCCGGTGCATCTGTCCTTTTGGAGCGGAGTTTCAAAAGCCACTGAATCGAGGCTGAGATGAAACGTAGAGTCCGACCCTGCTGCTCCCTTTTGAAAGATGAAACAGAAGCAAATGGGTACCAATAGCAAAGTTGTTCCACATGCATATATCCTTGTTTAGGAAAAAGAGAGAGAGAGCAGGTACTTTCAAAACATGAAATAGAGGAAAAAATATATTCCAGGGAAATGCAGCGGTTTGCAGAATTGTACGGTCTTTTGAACTCCCACTATGAAATAAAGAGTCAGACATAAGAAAATGGATCTAAAGGGCCATTTTCTGACCTATTTATTGAAAAAACTGGTAATAACCTGTAGAGGGAAAAATCTGTAAAAATGCAAAATATAACTCATGGCTTAATGGCCACCTAGTGAGCCTAGTCCCTGGGCCAAGTGTCACGCCCTCTGACCACCTCCAAGGACAGCTGGAATGCAAGGCTTTGTTTTGGCTGGCAAGGTGTGATCTCCACAAACAAGAGTTTTCCTGTCTATGATGGGTTTTGGGGGAAGAAACAAACAGGGTCGGGCTGCGGACCTCAGAGGGATCAACGCTGCCCTTTGTAATTTCAATCATTTTCTTTCCCAAAATCTCATGAACTTCCTCATCTCACCAGACATGCTCAGAAAACAAGATAAAGAAATCAATGGCTATTGTTTCATGCACATGAGTCAATCAAAAATGAGTTTCGAGAGAGACAAAGATTTTCCCTCGAGCATTGCAACAGTTCCTGGTCACTTTTTGTAGGGCAAAAGTCAAGGAAAAAGGGGGAAACAGACTGCATTTCACACAATAATTTTTTATACAAAGTTCATATAAAATTTTCTTTCCCACCCCACATCTTTATTATTTTATTACAATATTGATTTATTAAAAGAACTGGAAATCCCATGCCCCTGGGGAAGGTTTGTGGAAGCGGAGGTGGCTTGCAGTCCAAGTCAGGCAGCAAAGAGTTATTTCTCCCTGCAGAAGTCAACAGATGGGCGCTGAGTTGATCCATAACAAAATCCATCGCTCAGCCCTTGGGGAACTACAACTCTCACAAAGGGCAGAAGTCCCAAGATCCAGCCATTTCCCAAAAGCCTCGTGGGGTCCTTGTTGTTGTCAGTGCCTTGGCAATGTGACCAAGACTTAACCCTTGTTGTGTAGTCTGGTGCCCTTGCCCTTTGCAGAACTATAAGTCACTATCCCTTATTTTGGGGGGGGGGGGTGCTCGACATCATGTGCACCTAGGATCCCAAAATACTTTGTCTGCACCTCTTGGCCGATCATAGTTGGAAGGCCATCCTGAGGGCGCTCCCTCCCAAACCTCAGAGTTTTTCAAGAGTGAGAACCCTCAATCCAGCCCCAAGGGTAGCTCCCATTTTATGAAAACTTATGGGGACTTTTGTGG